ATTAGCTTTAGAGGTCTTCCCGAATTTCAGGGTTCATAGTTAACAGAACTTCTATAATGTTATTATTACACATAGGTGTCCGGGGCTGAGGTTACTATCCTGCCAACATGGTGTTTCATAAGTGCCTTTGACTATTGACTTTCCACCATTTTCTGTTATAATGGTTTTTAATCCTTGGTTTCAGTGGTGCCATTCAGGACCTTGTCCTCCTTTTGTTACTACTTACTGTATTTACTGCATGCTCTTCCCCTTAGCTGAAAGATGACAACTTGTTGCCATCTAGGATACGGGAAAGGCTTATTGTCACATATTGTTTGTTTGTTTGTTGAAGCTCACACCAGCTGTAACTGGAAGATAATACTTCTGGAACAGTTTGAGTATGCTCAGAACTTGCAGCAGAAATGAAAGTATTGACACCCCCTTCTAAATCATACTGGCACAAACATGCAGTGTAAACACATTGCTCCAGTATCAGAACTAGCAAGAGTCATATATGGTTGTTTCCTATGGCAGAGATAGCTACCCAGGAGGGGGAATTTCAGCCAGCGTCTCACTATATTTAATCGGTACCTAGCAGTGCTTCCTGTGGAGTCTGGCAGTTAGGTTGATTCTGTTTATGTTTGTTTGTATTTCTTCCATACAATAAATTACTGGTGCTATAGCTGTTGTCTAGTTACATGACATCATTATGGCAGACTCACTTTCCAAAGATTTTTCTGTTATCCAAGCCCAAGTTGTCTCCTGCTAAATTGGCACAATAACAAGGCACATAGTATATGATGTCACACAAATATTTCATATGGGATGTCATGGATTATTATTCCATTAGGATTAAGATCTGTAAATGGATGAAGCATTCATTTTTAATTTTGATAAAACCATATTCAGCTGTTTATTTATAAAGGAATGAGGAGGTGCGAAGGAATACACAGTGAGAGCTTTTAGAGATGAAGAGTATGTATCAAAGTTTTATTCTGTTGATGGACTTTTTCCAGTTCCCATTTTATTCTTCCATGAATTTATATGCAGACATTTCATTCAGTAATAATAAATAATATGCCTGTGTGATAGAGTTCCAAGACATGGGGAACTTTGTTCAAAAGCTCCTTTACTAAGGGGTGGCTGATGAAATGGCCTTTACATTTGCAGAAGTCTCCAAGGATGCATCAAACCACAGTAGCAACAACTGTGCTTGATTGCAGCATGCCTTTTTCTGTTCCTTGGAGCATTGATTATAATTGTTCTGGATAATTAACTGTAGGTGTTAACATCCTCACACTTTTTCATATGTACACACATGTACTCTATACATCTGTGCTTCAGGTTTTGAGCTATGCAATTGTTTTTATCAGTATTGAAAGGAAACAAGACATTAGATGCAATCCTAAACTCACATTAAATCCTCCCACTGAAAACAAAAGGATTTACTTTTGAGTTAGTAGACATAGACAATGTACCGCAAGTTCCAAATACTGGCCACAAACTAGTACTTGGAGGATGTGTGTAACTGACTTTCTAAAAAAAAGTTACATTTAAGCAGTCATTGCCTTTTCTCTTTTCAGGGAATTAGTCTTATTTTGCATTAAGTTCTTTAATGAACCATGGAAAACAAATCCACAGAGGGATTCTTAGTTAAATTCTCTAAATAGGCACATGATATAATTGTCATTTCAAAACATTTGTAGTTCATAGTAGTGAGGACAACTGCAAGCCCACTAATATAAAGTAAAACAACCACTTGCCTCCAAGATGACAGGCTGCCACTGTCTCCCAACTTGAATATGTATACATGGTGAGTAAAAAGAAGTAGAAAGACTTTGGTTCGCATTCAGCTAAAATGACCTTGTGAACTAATCACGGGACATCCTGTGTATTTAATGTTGTAGTACAAATGAAAGCCCTGTTGTAGATATCTCCAGAGAGGACGGAAAGAACAGTACTTTCAGGACAGCTGCTGATGTTGGTGGTACTATACTTCCTTGTACATTTCCATGAATATCAGCTAGCCAGGGAATCTCTTTCAAGGACACATGCTAGGAATTGACATCATCTTACTCCTACAGTGAACACAAACACGCTTGTGCAGATATAAACAGCAACATGTTCATGGCTAACCCTTTCTCAGGTATTTCACCAGTGATGCTGCCTTTGCTGCATGAGTACGTATGGGTTGTTCTTGTAGGAATTGCATCATGCAGCAGCAGCAGCAGCTACATTTTCCTCCTCCTGAATGTTCTGCATATTATGCTGACATAATACGCAATACTGTCTGATACACCACTTTTAGACTTGGTTTTTATTGTAAAGGGGGCATCTATAGCCAAACAGTTACAATTGGTATATTTATTCCATGTGCCAATGTGTCATGCAGACAGGAAGTTGCTTGAGCCCCTACTTAGGCCTTTTAGAGGCTACTCCCTATACCTGTCAGCAGCCTGAAGCAGACAAGTTGTTTGAAGCTCCTTCTGCCTTTTCTTTTCAACTCCTTGAAAATGGGGGAAATCGAAACACAGAGATAAAGGAACAGAATTAATAGTTTAGTCTGCACAAGGGCCCCAACACAACATCACAACCAAATTTAAGGCTTTCCTTTAAGCATGTGTGGATTCCCCACCTCCAAACCAGCTCATGCCTCAATCAAGGGCATCCAGATCAGGGCTGACTTATGCAAATCCTTTGGGGGGCCATTCTGATCCTTGTCTGGGTCAGTGATGTTTGTGCATATCTGTATCTCAGTAGGGGCAGGGGGGGACATTCCTGCAAATAGGAAAATGCAAATGCCTGTGACGTAGTGTGATGTGGAAGTGGTGCAATGCCATCAAATTTGGGACATAGTAGACCTTAAATACTGGATTTATTGTGCTGTACTGCAACCATGTATATTCTCAGGGTCCAAGTACCTGTGAAGTAACATTTTGTTTGGACTAGAAAAAGAAGAATGAATGTCTTTACTCTCTTGCTTCTTCCATTCCCATGATCCTGTGTAGATAGAGGCTCTGGCCTCTAAGGTCACCGACCTCCCCTTACCACCAAAGAGGCAGTGACTCCTTCACTGGTTTCCATGCCTAACTGGCATATGTCACTCCACTGCAAGGAAGGCTGCTTCTAAGACCAGTTCCCCCATCCCCCGGTAGCTGAGCACTGTTGCCCACTGAATCCACATGCCCCTGGATTTAGTATAGGCAGAATCTTTCTCCTAGGAAGAAGTCACACAATTCATTTGCCCCCAGGGGGAGGGCACTTGCTCTCTGGCTCCATTATATGCTTGTATCAAGAAGGTAAGGTTTAATGAGCTTGTGTAGTGCTGTTCTAGTTGCAGCAAGACTGTTGTGACAGAGAGAGGGCAACAGAGTAACTTGGTCAGGTAAAGTGAGAAAGGCAGTGGCCCTTGACTGGTAGCCAACCAGCCCAGAAGAGCAGCAGACAGTAGGCAGAATTGCTTGTGTAGCAGTCTATGAGAGGTAGAAAGCAGTTGCAATAAAAGGACATCCAGTAGATGACTTGGTGCATTGTAAAAGAGAAGAGACGGTAGCCTTCTGCTTGTAGCCCGAAAATCCAGAACAGCAGCAGACAGGTTGGCTTATGTCTAAATAAAGGAAGGTGCTGAAGAGGAAAGAGTGGTTTATTTGGTAGAACCAGAGGCAGTAGGATTTCACTTATATCCACCTAGGCCACAGAGAGCAGTGGGCAGCTGAGGCAGGGTACTGGCTTCTACTATGCGTAGTGTAAAACAAGAGGGATGGAAAATACTTTCTAAAGTGTTGAGACATATAGTAGGATCCATATGTGTCAAGTGGAAGGCACCCTAACCTGTAACACAAAGACATGGATTGAAGTGGGCTGGGAGGTAGAGGAAAGTTGACTTCCAGCACCCTATAGCACAAAAGCCAGTGGTATTTGCAACAAAAAGAAGGAGAAGGAAAAACAGCTATCTAAATTGAAACCTGTGAATGCCAGGTGGAATGCAAAGAATCCTTTGAGGGGTTGTTCTGCACCAGGGTAACCAAAAGTTCTTTGTTCTATTCCATGATTGCCCCCAAATCACACAAGAACTCTTTTGCTGCAGCACTTCGGCACATTTGTCTGAAGAGAGTGAATGTCCTTACTTGAAATGTTTTGTAGCCAAGAACCCTTATTTAATTTTTATCTAGTATAAGATTTCTAAACTACATTTTAAGCTGTATTACCCCTTGTAAGGAAATGCACAGTTCATCCATTTGTGCAATTTTGACACATGAACAGCCCTTCAGCAACAATAATAACATTAAATCATTTCTTAAAACCATGAATGGGATTCAGCGTGCTGTCTATTAGAACATTCTTTTCACAGGAATTGAAGCTACTGTACAAGCCCAGCCCCAAGCCTGACATAAAAGGCTACCAAGATTATAATACCTTCCCGGTAGGTCCCCAACTGTACTCAGAGGTGTTACACTCCAAAGAAAACTGTGTGTGATATTCCTGAATATGCTTTTTAGTTTAGTCCAGAAATCATAAATACTGTAGTATATTTCATAAATTTAAAGATATCCTCAGCACACATGTACTTATTACTTGGGGATGGGGCATGACTGTATTTCATTGACCAGCTTTGTACTGAGTTCATTTGATACACGGACACAACCATGATCAATGACAGTTTTCCTTAAGCCTTCAAGAGCCTGCCAAAACCAGAAGCTAGAAGTGCCAGTATGGAAGCAGAGAAAAATATCCACCTGGTAGAAGGAATGGCTGTGAAGACTTGTCTTGTCTCCCATCCTGTATTCAGGGCAAGTCTTTTGCATCATCTTATAAAGAAAGAAGCTAGAAGCAAGAATGCAGGAAAAACCTATTGAGAAAAGCTTGTGGGTTTCTAGTCTTATGTGGCTTCTACCTGATTGCCCTGGAATTGTCCCAAGGATTTTGTGTGCAAAATTGCTATTAAGTAGTGATGATGTAGGTGCACATTTTCATTGTTCTTCAAACTTTTTTCATTCTAATAAGATCTTATTTATTTTTAGGCTGCCTCACTACAAGTCTGAGTGCTGACCTTGCCGCATCTGTGGGGGCAGAGTCAGTGGAGCAGACATCAGCAATTCTAACAAGTGGCACAAGAAACAAGTTCTCTGGGAAGCTGCGCCGATCAGCCAGTGCTCTCAGCAAATCTTCAAACTGAAGCACTTTCAAAGTTGAGGACAATTTAAGGAACATCATTTAAACTCTCTTCTCATGTTAAATCATTTACTATATCAGCAGAACTGGTCTTTTTTAGAGACTTCATAATGAAGTACTTTTTGCTATAAAATCATAGTTACTGAAGCTTAAGATCTTCAAATTGATCACCTGAATTATGCAACATACCTCCCACTTGATCATTTCTGCCACTGGAGTAATGTAAACAAGATGTATTTTTGCAAGGTTGTGTAACTGTGATAAGTTCCTTATTTTCTTATTGTACTGTAGCGATTATCACACATTAATGGACAAAGATGGAAAACAATAACTGAAAACCAACTAATTTCCTCACTGAATGTGACTTCTATAATTTAAATATAATTTAAAGTTTAGGATATGGAATCTTTTCTCAGTTTAGTTATTAAGCCCAAGAGAGGCACTTTTGAATCCCACTGATGCCAGCTCAATTATGCCTACACTACTTAAAATATGGGTGAATTGTGCTTTTTTATTATGCTTTTTTATCACCTCTCCAAATATTTTATTTCTGTTATTTATTTTCAAAATCATTCTGTGTGCATTTAACTAAGAAGGCTTTACTCTTCTGATGTGCTTATAGAAGAAAAGTCCTGTTAGATAAATCAAATGGCAAAGACTTATTGTAAACTGCTTAGTTAAATTTTTATTTCGTATACAAAGCATTATATTACTACCGTCTTTAAACCTTACTCTGTGTAACTTAAAAATGGCACATGCCAACTCAGAGGTCTTATTTCTTGATTTCCTTTGTGATAAAACTGGACCAAAATTACTTCATGATTGACTATATGATGTGGTTTGATCGTGTTCAGAAGCACTTGCTATTTGATTAATATAGCATGTCTGTTCAGTTGACTATCTGGGGAGACAGAGATCAACATAATGAGTGACATAAAATCAATCCATAACACCTATGCACATAGCATAAATATAATGCTGGTTAACGGTCCTGGCATGTATTTTATATGTGCAGCAGGGTATAGAAGCCACGTTCACACTCACATCATTTCAGTGTGGTCTAGAACCAGTAGGCCTTGCCTAATGAGTTAAGATTCATCTCTGGTTTTTTGCAATACATTAAAAGATGACACATGAGCCTGCTGAATGTATGAAATACTTATCAGTATGAATTACATGCCACAGTGGACCACCTGTCTTCATAAGCTGTGGAATAGCCTGAAACTGTGAGAAGGAGACCAGTCACACTCATCTTTCCCACTCACTTGTGGCTCAGCCAATTAAGCTGAAAAGGTACATGCAATTGTCCTCACCCACATTGCCCAGGTTTTCAAAGATTATAAAAATGGCTTAAAAGGCTCCCTTATCATTACACTAACAAATTAAGATGCCCTTTGTTTTCAGGCATATTTATCTGAATATAGGTATTGTCTGTTCCTTAAAGGTTAGATGTTGCCATGTATGATTAGATGTGGATTGTTTAATTTTCACCAGCTGTTTTACTGGCCATTGATTTCATTTTGCTGCCCTTAGTTTGGTTTGGGGAAATGTTACTGTAGATTCTGCTTATAATTATTGTTGCTGATAGCCAATCTCTTTTTGTATGGGAGTAGAGGAAAAATCTAAAACATACTGTGATTTAAATGAGATAAGGCAACATGACACATTGCCCCAACTCTACTTTCTAGGTGTGCATATAGCCATGTTTTCAACTGAATCTATTGTTGAAGAATTTGGAAACTATGTTATCTTACCTTTGGGGATATAGGGTTATGTTTCAAATGGGTCTGCTGCAATCATTGGAACTATGTTTATTGTGACGGACAAAATCCTATTACTTATGCCTGGTAGCATAAGTAAATTTCAGCAGTGAACTGCTGCTACTTACATCTATGCTTGCATTTATTGTAACACACCAGTCACATGACTGGGTGAATAACAAGAAGTACAAACTTCATCTTCTTCCATGGCAGCAATTTGCCATTAAAATTTATGCCATTGGACTTATGCCTTAAATAAGTAATAGGATTCTGGCAGATCAACCTAAATCCTGTTGATTTTAATGGGCCTCCTCCGAGTGTGACAGAAACTTGATCCAATCCATTAAGCACTAATCTAAATGTCTTGCACAACCAAAACGACTTGGTGATTAAGATGAATCAAGAAGAATGCATTTGAAAAAAATACTCCCCAAATAAGTACAATGGGATGGAATGTAGACTAACTTATTTTTTCCAGGCTGTCAAAGCACATTAATGCTACTGTAAAACTAATGTCATTGTTACAGACTTTGTTTTGTGTGTGTGAAAATCTTGGTCATGTTAAACCAAGATTCCAAGCCAGTAGGACTCTGGTGCCTCTTACAGTGATTGCAGAGCTGTTCTTGATACTGAATGAATACAACCTCCAAAATTCATACAAGTAAGATGTAGCATTTGAGAGTCTCAGAGCTTGAATTGGACCAAGGCTCTGTTATGCAGGTGGCCAATCAACTACTTCTTGTTCATTAAGATCCTTGGGTCTTTGCAATTATGTTAAGAGTTTTGAGATATGTTATTTGCTTGGGGTATTGGTTTGCCTGGGAAGTGAAGATGAGCTTGCACACAGTCAGCAAAGTAAACCTTTTCTTTCATGTCATGAGCTGAAATTAAATGGCTTGTGTCTGATGTGGAATTTGTTGATTTTTCTGTCAAATGCAGTCTTTAATAGCTTGAAGGAAATTGGCTGATTCTTCTTTGTGGCCTCTGGGAATGCACACAATTGTGTTGTTAAGCACCTGTGCAAGACGTCTCAGAAGTTTCTAGAGCTTAAAGACATGTGATTAGTAGGACATTCCCCCGTGGAGCGCATGCTCTGCCCTCCCAAAGTCCCCTTGGTTCCTTTTTGCCGCTGCTTCAGTTGGAACACTAGAGCGAGTACTGAGATCAATTAGCTAATTCAATCATTTCTTTTATATTTTCAACCATCTCTTTCATTGGACGTTCCCCTGTAAGTTATCCATTTCCTTTTTCTATCTCCCCCATTTGTTTTTTCTTCTCTACCTGCGTTTTTTCTTTCTCCCATCACCATTTTTCCCTTCCCTTTTCCCCTACTTTTATGGCCCCCCCAGGGCCCTTCAAGCAGTGCGTGTTCTGCACAAACAAGATCCCGCTTACCAACGGTCACGGCCGCTGCCTCTTCTGCTTAGGGGAACAACACCAAATGCACTCCTGCCCTGAGTGCAAAAAGCTTTCTAAGCCTGCTTTGAAACTACACCTGCAAAGACTTCACTCTTACCTTTGGGAAAGGTCCAATCTGGCCTCTATGGATCCAACAACTTCTCCAACTCTGCATTCCAAATGTCAAGAGCCCTCTTGCCCAATACCGAGCCCGGCGATCCCATCACCTCGACAAAAGGACCCTTCGAAGTCCACTTTGAAGTCGACCTCGACTTCCACGTGGAAAGCTCCAACCCGTACAGGTGACTCGTCTAAGAAAAAGAATGACAAAACTAAACTGAAGAAAACTAAAAAGCCTACAAAATCAACCCAAATAGATCCACCTCAAATGGTGATCCCATCACTCATCCAAAAGGAGTCATCCAAAGACACCCCTGGCTCACTCGGATAGAGATAACCCAACTCTAACACCAGCTCAGGCTGCAGCCTCCATTTCTAGCCTTTCGCCAGCTACCAGCCTACCTCCGGCTGATGTTCACTCCAGCCTGGCCTTGGCCCATTCAAGCCCTGGATCATCAGGGTGGGCAGTACCTATTCAGGTTTCTGGCTCAAAGTCATGTCATCACTCTTCCCATAAACACCAAACAAAGAGACAACACCTTTCTCCAATTCAGTATGCCCCCTCACACAGGGAATTGTACTATTATCCCGAACCATCTCAGTATCCGACCAGAGATGACTATGAGGAACGGTATCATCCTAAGACCCTTACTATTGTGAAGACCTCACTGAACAGGCCTATTACAATGAACCAAGGAGAGTAAGATACGCTTCTTCACACCAATATTCATTCTCCATATCACCTTCACCACCCAACATTGACATCATTCAACTTCAGCTTACCCAACATCGACTCACCATATGTTGATCCCTACAAAGTTGGCCCTTAAACATACTCTTCCAGTACCAGAATCTCAACCACAACCCAAGAGAGCCAAGTACTCTCGACATCATACCTGTCTCCACGTTACCACTACCTGCAGAGGGCCTCCCCCCCCCAAAACATACTCTTCCAGTACCAGAATCTCAATCACAACCCAAGAGAGCCAAGTAATCTCAACATCATACCTCTCTCCACGTTACCACTACCTGTAAAGGGCCTCCCCCCCGACATTGAACATTGTCCAGTATCAATACCTCCGATGCATCAACTACCTCCACCATCACTACCAGCGACATTGGCGACCAAACCAAACCATCCTCACAATCATCCCTTTCCTCTCAAGTTTCTACATCCGGTATGTCACATGTTGTTGTTTAGTCGTTAAGTCATTTCCGACTCTTTGTGACCCAATGGACCAGAGCATGCCAGGCCCTCCTGTCTTCCACTGCTTCCTGGAGTTGGGTCAAATTCATGTTGGTAACACTGTCCAACCATCTTGTCCTCTGTCATCCCCTTCTCCTCTTGCCTCCACACTTTCCCAATATCAGGGTCTTTTCCAGGGACTCTTCTCATGAGATGGCCAAAGTATTGGAGCCTCAGCTTCAGGATCTGTCCTTCCAGTGAGCACTCTGGGTTGATTTCCTTCAAAATGGATAGGTTTGTTCTCCTTGCAGTCCAGGGGACTCTCAAGAGTCTCCTCCAGCACCACAATTCAAAAGCATCAATTCTTCGGCAGTCAGCGTTCTTTATGGTTCAGCTCTCACTTCCATACATCACTACTGGAAAAACCATAGCTTTGACTATGCAGACCTTTGTCGGCAAGGTGATGTCTCTGCTTTTTAAGATGCTGTCTAGGTTTGTCATGGCTTTCCTCCCAAGAAGCAGGCATCTTTTAATTTCGTGGCTGCTGTCACCATCTGCAGTGATCATGGAGCCCAAGAAAGTAAAATCTGTCACTGCCTCCATATCTTTCCCTTCTATTTGCCAACAGGTGATGGGAAGATGCCTACTCCACCTTCTGATGTTGGCAAGAACGACCCTCCATCCCATTAGAAGATTTTACATCTTATTCTCAACTGACTGTGTGAATGGCAAAATCTTTACAGCTCGACATCGAAGAACCACCACCTCAGAAAAAGGATCTGGTCTTTGATGACCTGAATCAAGATAAAACACCACCTCTTAGTTTGAGTTTTATTCCAGCTATGCTTGATTTGGTCAAGTAATCATGGGACAAACCTCACTCTTCACTTCAAATTTCATGACAAGTAGAAAATCATTATAAGACTCATGGTCCAGACACAGCTTTCCTCTCTAAACATCCCACATCAAACTCTATCATTGTAGAACCCTATCAATCAAGAGCACGCAACAAATCATCTGTGGCCCCTACCAACCAAGAAGGAAGGAAACTTGACATTCTCGCAACACGGCTCTATTCCCTTACATCATTTATTATGAGAGTTGCTAATTATCAAGCCGCTATGGGCACATATCTCTGCCAGCTATGGAATAGGATTCTACCAATCATTCAAGCGACTACAGACACTACCAAAATAGAAGCTCTGAATATCCATGCTGAGTCTTCAACCTTGGCTAAGCAGCAAAGAACCACTGCCTCTAAGGCTATGTCCACTTCTAGCCTTGAGGCATCATGCCTGGCTCAGATCTGCAGGCCTTTCAGACGATATTAGAATAAGGATAGAAGATCTTTCTTTTGATGGTGCTGGCCTTTTCAATGCCAAAATGGACAAGGTCATGGACAATCTCCATTAAATCTGCAAAGTAGCACGATCCACCCAGCAACCTTAAAGGTATCAGCATTCTCAATTCCGAAGACAACCAGGACTCCTCAGAATATTCTAGAGCTTTAAAACACATGATTAGTAGGATGTTGCCCCGTGGCGCACATGCTCCGCCCACCCGTAATACCTCGGTTCCTTTTAGTTGCCGCTGGGAAGCAGTATCCATAGACCCCTTCTTTCTACATTTCAAACCAGACTCCATCCCTTCATCTCGGCTTGGCGCCGAATAACTAATGATCAGTAGGTTCTTTCTATTGTCCAAAATGGCTGTCATTGAATTTCAATGTACCCCACCCTCTGGCACCATTAGGATCACTCCATTCTCATTAGCTCTCTGCGAAGAAGTGTCCCTTCTTCTCCAAAAAGAAGCCATACTCATAGTCTCTTCCCCTACATTGCATGAGGGGTTTTACTCCAGGTATTTTACAGCCCCCAAAGAGGATGGAGGACTCCACCCTATTCTCAATCTCAGAAGCGTTAATAAATTCATTCAACCCAGTCATTTTTGAATGCGGACCCTCAACACTATCATCCCTCTCCTTTCACAGGGAGACTGGTTTGTTGTCATCAACCTTCAAGACATCTCTATCTTGGAGGAATGGTATAGAGAATTATGGGCCATGGCAATTAACGATAAACTGACATGTGATATGAAAATAAGTAGAGGACAAATGAAAAATAACGATTTTAAGTATATATTGAATGTATTTTTGGAACATGTATTTCGGAGAGGGAGGGGGTTTACACCAAGGGAAGAAGCAATGAAATTTTGGAAGGAAAATGAATGGAATGAAGTGTAATGCTAGTCCTGAAGGTGATGGGTGCACATGGGTAATTGTATTTCATTGTATTGTATTGTTTTGTATTTTATATAGGGTTTTTTGTGTAGTAGTAGGTTTATTTTGTATTAAAAAATAATAATAAAAAAAGAATCACAAGACATCTCTATCCATCCACTTCACCACAAATTTCTGTGATTCCCATTTGGCAACATTTCATACCTATTTTGCTCTCTCCCGTTCGGACTTTCCACGGCACCGAGAACCTTTACAAAATGCATGGCACCAGTCGCAGCCTACCTCTGACTACGAAGTATTACCATATTCCTGTACATAGACAACTGGTTAATAGTTGCTACTTCTTATCATGATGCAATCAGAGCTACCCAACTAACTCTTGATACTCTTCAAGATCTAGGACTCAAAGTAAACCTTGCCAAATCCCACCTTGAGCCTGCACAAACCGCCACCTACATTGGGGCATATTTCAGCTCCCTTC